TTGGTTTTCTATATCTCTTAACTTTTTTTTCTCATTTTCCCTATTTTTGTCCTTTTCCCCTACTCCAAGTCTTTCTCCTAAATTGCTTTAACTTTGCTAATCACAATTTTAATTTCCAGTGATTATTTCTTAATTCTCTGATTGCTTCCTTTCCATAGCAGTCCGTTGTTGTTTTATAGGTGCAATTATCTTCTTAAATTTGTCTGAGAAAACTAATTAGAATTTCAAAAAATTCTCTGATTTTCTCAGTTTCCTGCTGGTTCATTTTTTCTCCCTGCACCCTTTTTTTTTTTAATCCTTCTATTTTGTATCTTGGTTTTCCAAAATGTTTGATGACCCTTTATTGTCTGTACATATTTATGAATGAAGGCTTGGTAACCAATGAGGTTTCCTCTCTTGCTTTGGGATTCCAGGGGAGGAATGGATTCTGCCTGAACCTATCCGTGTTTTCTGAGTGTTGTGGTCTGCTGCTGTTTTATCTAGAAATACTGTCCCATCCATTCTCTGTCTTAGATAAATTAGATCTCTGTTGTCTTCTCCTCAGTGCTATAATGGATTTTCTTTTTTTGGGCTTCTTTGCTTTCATATAAATGGGATTTGAGGAAGGAAGATAATATGTATGCACTGTCTCACACTGAATTTTAACGGATGTTTATTACTACTTATTCAGCTCTTGATTTTCTGTATTTTGCTTTAAAGAGAACAAGAGATAGACTTAACTTTCTTACATAACTTTCACTTAACTTGGATACCAAAAGCCCCAGGCCTGCCCAGGGTCTGGGTTTTGCATTTCCTTTCTTTGCCTGTTTCAGGCCTCATAACAGCTTTGTAACTTAGCAGAAAGCAAGAGTTAACTTCCTTCCTTAGCACTGGTTTGATGGGCTCTATCTGCTTAATTACTGTGTTTCCTTTTTCATTAGGAATACTTGACCTTCTGTACCTGTATCTTTCTGCCAGTCATATTTATAAGCTGATTTGCAGTATTTTTTTCTTCTTAGCTTAGAGAACAGGGAAGAACAGAAAAGGAGGGGCAAAAAAGAAAGCTAAGGGCTAACTTCTGAGTCTGGGTAAGTTCCTGAGATGGTTAACTTTTCTGTGGTAAGCAAAGGTCAGCCTCCTGTCTGAGTGGTTCAGCCTAGTGACTATGGGTCCTCCCTTCCCACCTGGCATGTTCGTGGACGTTCTAACATTCATTTAAACAGAAGGATTTTAGGAAACAGGATGGGAATGATAGAGCTAAGGCATGTACTCCGCCTCAGGGAGTTTATGGACTGGTTAGGGATGCTGTGTTTAGGGCATATGGAACAATTAGTGATCAACTCATGCAATACAGAATTGTTAGGTTGTATGTTCACTCTAAATGTAGGAAGGGTTCTGCACCAGTTAGGAGGAGTTGGGGGTTTGGTTTGGCTTTAAATGGGTAGAGTTTAGGAGTAAAGAAGCCTGACAGTCTAAGGTGTGGAGAAGCTTGTGGGAGCCACCGCTGAGAGATAAAGCAAAGACTCTGGGAGAAGCAGGTAGAATGGCTGAAGATTACTAAAATGGGTAGGTGGGGACCAAGCCTGGTTCTCGAGGCAGACAGCTGGTCCTCACTGTGATGACAGCGAATTCTCATCCCTACCAGAGTGGGCACGCCAGAAAGGGGTAAAGGAATCAGAGAGGCCAGCGTTGGGTCCTCAGCTCAAAGTCAGGCTACGGGACGCAGCACTGTCCGACCCACTGTATCACTCTGTTTTGGTAGTTAGAGAAGTTGGGGAAGGCTGAGAGAGAGGAGGAACTGTTCAGGGGAATTGCTCGTTTTTAAAAGTGTGATCTTGGAAATATAATTGCCACCATTTCCCATTTAGGTGATTGCCCACAGTCAGTATCAAAAGTCCACAAGAATTTCCATCTTTCTGAGCATGCAAGATGAAATCGAGACAGAAGAGATTATCAGGGACATTTTCCAACAAGGCAGGACCTGCTTTATCCCTCGGTACCAGTTCCAGAGCAATCACATGGACATGCTGAGATTAGCATCACCCGAGGAAATCTCTTCCCTTCCCAAAACCTCCTGGAATATTCCTCAGCCTGGTGAGGGTGACGTTCGGGAGGAGGCCTTGTCCACAGGTGAGTGTTACGCTGTTAGAATTGACTTCTGAGGATGTCAGACTGACCAGTTGTTAGATCTCTGATCCACTTGTTAGGTTTGGGCCAGTGGGAGTCTCATTTCCTACAGGGATGAATTTGAATTTCACTTACATTCCAAGACACCCACATTCCATGGCTTGGGATGTGATGTCTTCTGTAAGCTGTGAGGTGTAAACCATGAGAGTAAGGTATCGCGGTATTGTTGACTTCTTAGACTTTTGCCCCAACCTTGTGAGTTGAATTATACATTTTCCCTGAACAACTTAATTATTTTCAGTGGTTTCAGCTATGGTCTGTGTGCTAATGGGTGTACTATTATTAATGCCAGTGAACATTTATATCTCTAGTTCAGACCTAACAGCTACCTCTGGATATCTTTGCTTGGATACCACATACACATTTCAAACGCAACATGCTCCAAACTAAATCATGTTCCCCTCGACCCCAACTACCATGGGTTCATCTCAGTGCCTGGCGTCACCAGCATGTTGACCGTGCCAGAAATCTCCAGATCGTCCTTGACGCTTCTCTTTCTGTCATGCCCCATGTGTGATCTATTGCCAAGTCCTGATGATTTTATTTATTGAATATTTATTGCATGTGTCTACTTCTCTCCAGCCCACTGCTACTACTACATTCTAAGCTGCCATCTTCTTGCTCCTGGATTACCGTAATAGCCTCCTAACTGTTCTTCCTATCCACATCTTGCATCTTCTCCTCCGTCTCAATCCAATGTCTAATAGTAATTGAAACAAGATTTCTAAAATGCAGAACCTGCTACTTCTGTGCCAGCCCCCCTCCCCCTTCAGTGACTTCCTCTTGCCCTTAGGTTGAAGTAAACACTCCCTAACAAGGCCCTTCCTCACCCTGGTCCTACGTCTCCATTTTCACATCTTTCTACCCCCCTACTTCATAGTCTAAGTTCCAGCCACTCTGGAACAGAATAGCTCTGTTTCCCAGCCCTGTTTTGCTTTTTCTACTACTTGATCTTTATGTATGCTGTTCTCCAGCCAACAGCTGCTTGGGAGATTTTTTCATTATCAAGCAAAGAGGTGAAAGCAAAACAAGCTAAGGGTACTATTTTTTAGTATAATACTTCAGACCTGTCTTAGAGGTGTATATTTTTGACTAAGACTTACATGATTGCAAAGAAACCCCAGCACAACTTTTCGTGGCCTTCTTCCAATTTCTGCCCCTTTCAATATAACACCATAACCTGTAAAATCGATATGACTATGCTCACTTTGGCAGCACATACGCTAAAATCAGTATGGTGGAGTGGGAAGGGACAGGGTCAAGGAATCATAGTAGTAGAGGGAGTCTCTACCTTGCTACTTTCACTTCCCCTGCAGAATCCAATCCTGGGCTTTGCTAGAGTTTAGGCACCAAAAGTACGTTCAGACCCACCTCCTTCGTGTCCTGCTTCAGTAGACCATATGGATGTCGGCATGATAGAGCTCTTTCATATCTTGAAGGGGAAAGCTTGCGAGCATTTTAAGACAGTGAGATAATAAAAGAGTATTTTGGGGAGTAGCCTAGGCTTATAGATAAGGAAAAACAGGGCATTGTAGGCCACGACATTGTTCAAATTTAATGCAGCTACTTCTTCAGACTTGCAGGCTTAAGGGTGGAGCCCAGGACACTTTCCTAATTCTGGTGACCATTTGTCAACAGGACCTCCCATGCTCGCATCGTCTCTGTAACACGCCTGGTCATTGAAGTTCTGCTTGGTGTCCTCCAGTAATCAGTTCCTCTAGAGGCAGCCCATTCCTTTTAAAATGGCTCTGCTCCTTCTGGAATGTCTTCCTTAGCTTGAGCTAAAATGTGTCACTTTGACCTCCACAGCATTTGTTTTTTTGTTTTTTTTGAGACAGAGTCTCACTGTGTTGCCCGGGCTAGAGTGCCATGGCGTCAGCCTAGCTCACAGCAACCTCAAACTCCTGGGCTCAAGCAATCCTTCTGCCTCAGCCTCCCAAGTAGCTGGGACTACAGGCATGCGCCACCATGCCCGGCTAATTTTTTCTATATATTTTTAGTTGTCAGATTAATTTCTTTCTATTTTTGGTAGAGACGGGGTCTCGCTCTTGCTCAGGCTGGTTTTGAACTCCTGAGCTCAAACAATCCACCCGCCTCGGCCTCCCAGAGTGCTAGGATTACAGGCGTGAGCCACCGCGCCCGGCTGTCCACGGCATTTGTGCTATTTTTATTCAAGGACAGCAGAGGAAAGGGTAAGGAAGAACTATGATCTTCTTCTTAACTTAGTTGCGCCTCCTGATTAGGGTAAACTCAGTCCAAGTAAATGAGCTAAATCATTTATGTATGGTTTTTAGCACATCATTTTGCATATATAAGCTATTCAGTAAATGGCATCTATTACTAATTTTAAGCAAGGAAGGCAAAATCATTCATTGTGAGATAAACTCACTGCTAGCCAAGTATTTAACGTTTTGATAGTTTTCGGCAGATATTGTCACGTATCTACTTTGTGTCAGACACTATTTTAGCTCTGGAAAGATAAGATTCTGACTTGAAGGGACTCACACTCTGGCTGGGAAAATGTATGTAAAAAGAATATCCCAACCTGCAGTATATGTCAAATGTAAGCGTCAAATGAAAAGATACTGAATATTAAAAACAGAAGTTCAGGGGCTGGTCCTGAATAGAAAAACAGTCTACCAAAAAAACCTGATTGATCGTTTTTATCTCCTCCGTAGCATTTATTCATGCTGTATTTGTGGTGCTGGTGGCTTTTCCCCCACGTGTTTTTCTTTGTGGATGCAAAGGAATGGGGGATCGTACCCACAGTTCTCGAACCTGCAGTCTGGGGGCCAGGCCCTCTGCCGTTGCCTGTGGAAATGTCTGAGTGGGCAGTGTCTGCTGTTTGCTATCTCACAGCATCGCACTCTGCACTGTGGACTTCTGCCTGCGTCAGCAGCTTAGAATGTGGCAGTTTCAGTGCTAAAGCATAAATCTGGCTTCACAGTGTTTGCCACAAGCTGATCAGAGCTCAGATTGTCCTTGGTGTAGCCTTTGAAGTCTGTTTATCTTTCTGGTTTGCTTATGTTATCGCAGCTTAGAAAAGAGTGAACTTTGGTGTCCTTAGCTGCAATTATAAGTTCCTAAGCAAAAATTTCACGTGGGCTATTCTTACATTATGTGTACAGCAAAATAAACAAATTGGTAAATGAAACAGGATCTGTCTCTTTATTGAATTTATCCTCAAAGTGAGGGATGCTTGGGCAATTAGATTAGCCAGGAATTTTTCTGTTGCAAGTATATAATCTCATTCAGCCTGGCTTAAACAAAAACAGGATTTTATTGGCTCAGAGGCCGAAAAGGCCACGAAAGGGCTAGCTTTAGATATGGCTGGATTAGTGTCATTAGGAGCCAGTCTATCTCTGCCTTTTGATTCTGCTTCTATCTATGTTGGCTTCATTTTCTGGTGCTGCGTGGTGGCCCATGGCAGCTTCAGGTTCCACGACATCCTTACAGCTAGCAGTTCCAGGAGAAAAAGCAAGTCTGTTTTCTAACAGTCCCAATAAAATGCTCATCCTGACTCTCACTGGCCCAAGTGTCCATCCTGCAGTTAATCTCTGTGGCCTGAGGCATGGACTCGGCTGGCTGACCCAGGCCTGGGCTTACATTCCCACCCCGACCCATTCTCTGTGACCAGGAAGGAAGGATGTGCTGGCTGACTGAGACCAGGTCACATGTCTACCTCTGCGGCCCTCCTCAAACCACGGAGCTGAGTAGGGTGGGAGTGATTCAGCACAGGAAAAACAGATGCTGTTTCCACAGCAAGGGGGGAGTGGATCCTGAGAGAGTGGAGAATCAAATTCACCTGTGCTGTCAGTCATTTTTGAAATTCATGGAGTGTAGCAGGCTCTTTGCAGTCATAGCTTTGTCAGTGCTGATTTTTAATTTCTGACCTTTCTGGAGGCTTTTTGGGAATTTATATCTATGTGTGGGTAGCTTAAATAAATGATCATGATGAAGACTTTCTAGTCCCCAACCAAAACATTTTAAAGTAATTGAATGGGACACTTTCAAGGACAGAGTCCGCAACCCTTCTGGGTTGTTCATGTCAGTGTTTTTGGGGGAGCTATGATGGGCTCACTGTACGTAATTCACACTGACCTCATTTCTTTCTGTGCTAGGGTTGCATGGCATCTGTCAGGACAGAATAAAGGCAGCGGGTCTGGATTTCATCAAGGTATTTGACAGAATCATAATATCCTTGAGGATAGGTGAAGAAATCTGGATCGGATCATAACACCCTATTCAGAAAATATTTGTTGGGCACCTAGTCTGTGCGAAGTGCGAGGGGACGTCGTAGGAAAGAGCACGGCCTGGTCCCAGCGCTGTGGAGTTAACCGGCCTGCTGTCCCCACAGGGGCGGGTTCGTGCAGGGTGCTGCAAGGCTCTCTCTCGTGCTGTCCTGTTCAGGTTTTTGTTGAGCTTTTACCTTTTTTCAGCTTTTGTGGAACACTTGGATGTCCCACTGTCTTTTTATTTCAACATGTCTAAATTCATTCTTACCATTCTCTTTGTGCTTTCCACATTTCTGTGAGTAGCCACTTTGTGAGCATGAAATTATCCTTGCCTCTTTTCTACCCATCCGGTTATCAAGTATTACCAGATTTTTATTTGTAATGTTTTTATCACCTGTCTTTTCTAATTCCAGTTTTGGGGCAGCCCTCCGTCTGTGATTGTGATTCTTCCTATCTGTTCCATCGGCGCGCCATCGCAGGAATCTGGGGTGACCTTCCTCTCTGGACAAGTGGGAACGTTGCCTTCTGAGTTAGGCACTGTGGGAGGTAGAGCAGACCCTTACTGTCCTCATTCTCATTGCATCTTCCTTGTCTTCTGATGGGATAACTGTGGCCCAGGGAGCTCCAGTGACTTTCCCAGGGACACGCGGGCAGTTGGTGATACAAGGTCACCCAGTTCTGTTTCCACTCCAGTGCCCTTTGAAGTGC